CGATGTGGGACTTGATCCTGGATCCCGGGATCACACCCTGAGCCAAAGGCTCAACTGCTGAGCCACCCAGGTGTCCCTTGTTTTGGCTTTTAGAATCTAGTTTTACATGGCATAGTTATTCTTTATTCTTTCTTAACACGAAAGACTGGTGGGAAATAACCAGCACAATTCACAAATCTTTAATCCTGTATTTTATGATATTCCCCATGTCTTCACAGCATCAAATAAATAAAATGTGATAATTAAATAAGCAAATAATATATTCTTATGGTCTCATAGGAGATATGAACATACTTGGTTGGATAGCTGGCAGGCAGGCAACACAAACAGTTCTACTCAAATTCAAGAAATGTTTTATTGTGCATGTTCTTTATGCAGGGTAGCATAAAAATGAATCATGGAAGCAAATGGAGAAAATTTAAGTAGTAGGTAGTGGTAAACCATCAAGGACAGCTCAAGACTAAACACTGGAGGAGATTTTTTTTTTCTTTTTAGCAAAAGGGAATAACTCTGAGAACTTTAGGAGAGTTTCAAATAGATCTGTAAAAGGTAAACAACATATCAATGAATGAGTCCTGAAAATGCTACTAGCAATTAAGAACTAATGACCTATGGGCAGCCCTGGTGGCGCAGCGGTTTGGCGCTGCCTGCAGCCTGGGGCGTGATCCTGGAGACCCTGGATCGAGTCCCACATCGGGCTCCCTGCGTGGAGCCTACTTCTCCCTCTGCCTGTGTCTCTGCCTCTCTCTGTGTGTCTCTATGAATAAATAAATTAAAAAAAAAAAAGAATTAATGACCTAGAAAGTTAGGAACAGGGGCATCTGGGTGGCTCAGTGGTTGAGCATCTGCCTTTGGCTCAGGTAGTGATCCTGGGGTCCTGGGATCGAGTCCCACATCAGGCTCAGGGAGTCTGCTTCTCCCTCTACCTATGTCTCTCATGAATAAAGGAAATCTTAAAAAAAAAAAAAAAAAAAGGTCCGGAAAGAGTCTGTTCAAAGTGTATCATGCAGGCCACTTGAATAGGCTTGGGTATTGGGACCTATCCTAACTAAACCTAGAGAAGCAATCTTTTCCAGGTGAGTTTTATGCACAATAAAAGGCCTGAAGACCACTGTTGAAGAAAAGAAATTCCAAGAACAGTTTTATAAGAACCAAGAACAGGTTTATAAGAAAGCTTCTCATTCCCTCTGACTTCACTACCAGATCAATTTATTTGGTTCAGATTTGAAATTTTGTTATTGTTCTCAACAGCCAGCAGTAGTAAAGTACTTGAATCCCAGCTCCATCACTTATTACACTTGACTACTTAACATTTCTGGGCCCAGTTCCATCACTTGTAAAATGAGAAAAACAACATCTTGTCAAATTAATATAAAGATTCAATGAGACTTTATGTAAAGCACTTAGCACCATACCTGTCACATAAATGCTCGGTAAAATATTAGCTGTTTTCTTCATCTTTGACACGTTTTAAAATTCAATGTCACAGTAATAGCCAACAAAAATCATACATCTCCACCCAACCCTCTTACAGTAATAGAAGTAAACTGAAAACAATTAAAAAGCATCTCAACTGTTAAAAAACCCAAATGGTAGGAATCAGACAGCATGTGGACTGGAAAGCATCATTCAGAACCCACAGGAAACCCAACTGGCTATGCCTCAATGAAGAACACTGTATTTTCATCAAGGAATCTATGTCCAAATAAGAGGCCAGTTCTTCATCCAGCTATCCCACATTTATGTGAAAGCAAGAATTAAGAAAATTACTTTGCTACTAGTTTTACTTCACTACTTCAATTTTCACTTCTTTTATCACAAAGATACATTTCTGAGGGGCACCTTGGGTGGCTCAGTAGTTGAGCATCTGCCTTTGGCTCAGGTCGTGATCCCAGGGTCCTAGGATGGAGTCCTGCGTCAGGTTCCCCTCAGGGAGCCTGCTTCTCCCTTCTGCCTATGTCTCTGCCTCTCTCTCTCTAGGTCTCTCATGAGTAAATAAAATCTTTAAAAAACAAACACAAAAACAAAACCCAAAGAAATATTTCTGAGAAGAGGCATAAATAAAAACCCCTATATGATCTTAGGTCGAAGAGTAAAAAGAATCCATCAGGTTGAACTACATAAAACTGCCAATATTTGAAATGTAACAGGCAGTAAATGCAGGATTGCTTGTTTACTAAATACTGAGAAAGAAAAAGATGTGAAACTTTGTTGTAAAAATATATTTGCTTAAGCACTACTAAAATATACTTACAACTCTCTCTGGAAAGCTTAGAGAGAGAGAGTGCGTAACAAGTCAGAATAAATGACTCTACTATCATAAATCATAGTAATACTCATAATCAAGTAACAATTACAGACAGGGGTCTACAAAAGTTAAGTTTCTTGTCCCAAATTAAACAGCGGGGAGAGAAAGAGAACCAATAGCAGTCTCTTGACAAACTGTATCTGCTTTGTATATCATGTTTCCATGAAAAGTCTGCTTCTTTATGGAGCTTTCCATCTCAGAAATGGCATCATCACTGGATTCAGTTGTTTAGGCCATAAACCTTGGATTCTTCCTTGACTCCTCTCTCTCACACACACTATCCATTTTATCAGCAATGTTGTCTTAAATCCACTGACATTTCACTCCACCATTAGCGTAATTAAAGCTATCATCATTTCTTGCGTGTAGGAGAACACTCTCCACTTCCCTTGTTTCACTCTTTCTTCCTACTCAACAAGCTATTTCTCATATAGAACTCTGAACAATTTTTCCAAAACACAAACCAGATTATGTCACTTTCTCCTCTCAACCCTCTGTTGAAGATTGATTTTTCTAATTGCACACATGGAACATTCTTCAGGACAGATCATATGCTGGGCCATAAAACAAGTCTCAATAAATTTAAAAGGGCTGAAATCATAAAAACTATGGCTCTAACCACAAAGGAATTGAATTAGGTTTTTAAAATTCCTTTCAACAGGGAAAATTTAAAAATATCCCTAAATAGTAGGAAAGTAAGCAACACACTTAAAATGAACCCCTGAGTCAAAGAAAAAATCACCAGGGAAGTTAGAAAATATCTTAAATTCAATGAAATGAAAATGTAATTTTTGGGATGCAACCGAAGCAATGCTTAGAGAGAAATCTGCAGCTTTAGTTGCCTGTGTTAAAAAAGAAGAAAGGTTTCAAATCAATTAACTCCAGCTTTCACTTTAAGGAACTATGAAAAGAAGCACAAACTAAACCCAAAGCAAGCAAAGGGAAAGGAATAATAAAAATCAGAGTGGAGATCAATGAAAACAGAAAATAGAAAAAATAAAGAAAAATTAATGAAGCCAAAAGTTGTTCTTTGAAAAGATCAACAAAATTAATAAGCCCTTAGCTAGACTGACCAAGGGAAAAATAAGAAGATACAAATGACAATAAAAAATTAAAGAGGGAACACACCACTACCGATCAATAAAAATTAAATGAGTTATACATCGACAATTTGAACAAACTGATGCCAACAAATGAGATCATTTAGAAAAGATGCACAAATCCTAGAAAGACACAAATTATCAAAACTGACTAAAGAAAAAATAGAAAATCCAAGTAGACTTAGAAGAAGAAATAAAATTGGTAATCAAAAATCCTCCCACCTAAGAGAACTGGAAAGGTTATACTAACAGACAATATAAGACTTTTATGCCAGAGATTTTTGCTAGAGAGTGACATTTTATCTCAATCTATTAGGAAAAAAATAAATATTGTGACCAAACAGAAAGTGAAAGACAAACCCACAGACTAAGAGAAACTCTTTGAAAGCATTTATCTGATAAAGGATGTGTACCCATAATATATAAAGAACTCTCAGAACAATAAGAAGGTAATATAATTTTAAAATGAGCAAAAGATCTGAACAGACATTTCACTAAAGATGACACACAGATGGTAAATAAGTGCATGAAAAGATGCTGATCAACATCATTAGTCACTAAGGAAATGCAAATCAAAACCACACTGAGATACCACTTCGTATCCACCAAAACAGTGGAATACAGTATCTATAATCAAAAGACAGATAATATCAGAAATTGGAACCCTCATACATTGACAGTAGGAACGTAAAATGAAGCAGCTGCTTTGAAAAACAGTGGCGGTTTCTTAAAATGTTAAAGACAGAATTGCCATATGACCAGCCATTTCAGTCCTAGGTATATATCCAAGAGAAATGAAAACTTATGTCTCCACACAAACTTGTACATGAATGTTCACAGCAGCCCAAATGTGGAAACAACCTAAATGTCTATCAATTGATGCATGGATAAACAAGATATTGGACAATAAAAAGGAATGAAATACTGACACACACTACAACATGAATAAACTTTAAAAAAATTATGCAACCACTGAAGTTCCTCTCTTTCAAGTAAGGAGTGAAAAGAAGAAGCCAAGTATCTAGCTTCTGGATTTTCCTTTGTATTCTATTCCTATGGCTGCCTTGGTAGGACAGGGATTTCAAGAGGATCTGATCTCGGCATTGCCAAGGTCAGTAGAGAGAATAACTTGGTAAATGATCTTGGGCACAATCCTAGTAATAGTAAGTGAACCATATGAAATCATTTCTGTAAGTCAAAAGAGCAGACCATCAGTAACTGCATATGGCTCAACCTATGTCAATACCTCTGTATTAAGAAAAACATTCTGTTGTCCCCTTTGAGACTATAGAATCACTGTCAAGGATTCTCTTTTGACCTTTTCAATGAGTACACTTAATGTGAGTCATTATTTTCAGAGCCAGAATTAAAGCAATTTAAAATTTTAATCTTTAAGCAATTTTTACGTTTGCACTAAAACGAAGTGTTTTAACAGCAGCCAACCAAAGAATAAATATCAGAATTATCCCACTCTAACTCAATTCTTTTCTTTTACTAACTCAATTCTTGTTAGTAATGTTTCTCTTCACGGAGCAGTAAGTTTTCACACTTTCAGAGCAACTGAAATCCATCCCATATTGAGAGCAACTTACCTGAAACTACCATAGACTATAAGTAGAATGGAAATCAGAAATGTAGACACTTGACTGGAATCCACCAGGGAATACGCCCTAGAGAAATAAGAGGGGGGAAAAAGTTAAATCACATAGCACAAATCCTCCCGGAGTTGACAGTTTGGTGGAGTTCTACCCCACAAAGTTTCATTTAAGTTAAAAAAAAAAAAAGGTATAAATTAGCAAAAAAAAAAAAAAAAAAAAAAACAGCATAATTAAAATGAGATCTGCTAGTTTAATAGAAAGAATACATGTGTAGGTTCACAGCCATTATTAGTTAACACTCTCAGGATGTTAAATCATATCAATGCAAAAATCCCACCTCTGTATACCACATATGCTTACAGCATCCACTCCAAATTTAAGTACCACCAAAATATCTACCATCACTGTGCCAAAGACAAAAAGTGTCAGTGATTAAACTGTTACCAGTTTACACTTGAACTGTCAAAAATATTTTACTGCTTTTCCTCAGTGATGAGGTGAAGCCTGTGTTTCTCCTGAATTCCATTTCCATTTTTATAATTGCCCACTGGTTCTCTCCATCTGGGTGTCTTACACCACTTCTTCCAAGACAACAAGGTCCAAAATTAAGGTCAGTGTTTTTCCTATCATACTTGAGGGAATGGAATCATGCTTCCCTCAGTTCAAAGCTAAGAATCTGCTGCATCCTTAACACCCCTTCTCTTACTTTACACACATAATGACAAGTCCTGCAACTGCTACATCCCCAAACACCCCACTTCTCTAAATACTACTGGCAATTCTTTAGCTCCCTTTTACAGCTTGACTAACAGAAGTCTGTGTCTAAGTTTGTCTCTAGGAGTTAACGCTTTACACTAATTCTTGTTAGGGATTTTCCTAAAACAAATTCCTCTTTATTTTTTAACAAATATTTAACGATGCCTCTGTGTCAGGCACTCTGCTAGTGACTGGGGATACAATAACAAAGAAGACTGTCTTGGTCCCTCACTGAATGTTCTAAAAGAATAAGAAAATTAAACTCCATTCTTTCTAAAGGAATGAAAACAAAAAGTTAACATAAGTCAGTGAATATAATCATAGAAAATATTATAAAGGGGAGACAGACAAGTACAGGGTCCTCTGATAATATATAATAGGTGGATCCTATCGAAGATCTGGGCAGAAAGGGTGAGCTTTCCTTTGGGGAACAGATGAACGAGCGAGATACAAGACACAATAATGGACGTGGTGATTGTTTATGGGAGCTAAGAGCATTCCCACTTTTCTGGTGAGCAGCAGGTGGATGGCTATACCATTAAGCAAAAAACGCAACATATGGAAGCAGATTCCTTGTATGTTGGGTTTTGGATTGTTAAGGAGACAGGTGGATATGTGGATCTACAGCTCAGAAGCAGCTCTAAGCCAAAGATATATATTGGGAGCTCATCACTTTCAACACGGTAACTGAAACCCTAGGTATGCGTGAGACTGCCTAGCAGCAGTGAGAAGAGGACCCAGGAGGAAGGCCTGAGAAACTTCTAAAATTTAAAGGTCAGGAAGAAGGAGAAGCTGCAAAACACACAGACACACACCCCAAAATGAAAGAGAAAGAAAACCCAGGATAGCACGGTAAGTGACCAGAGTGTTTTACAGAGGCAGCAGGATCAGATGGTGCCTGAAATTAAACCCTTGCTCTACCGCTTACCAGAAGTTACTCAACCTCTCTAAGGGCAGCTTCTTCACCTACAAAATGGGAATGACAACACCTACCTTAAATAGCTAATAAAGAATCAAATAAGGTAATTCCTATAATAAGCTGAACATGAGAACCACTGTTAATATCAGGAGGGAGAGGTCACCTGTGCTGAAGGCTACAGAGACAGTAAGATAAAAACTGAAGTGTCCTTTGGATTTCTTTAGTAAGTCACCTGTTACCTTAGCAAGAACACTTAGGCATGGCAGTGATGGGGGTCAGGTTGGAACTGGCTGAGAAGTTAGAATTAGGTAAATGGAAACAGCAATCTTTTTGAAAGGCACAAGGAAGGGAACAGTAGTGGGAGGGAACATAAGGATGAGGGAGGCCTGAAAAAAATTTTTGTTTTAAAGATTTACTTATTTTAGAGAGAGAGCAAGAGCACGAGCACGTGCAGGGGGCAGGAGGGATAGAAGAAGGAAGAAAGAGTTTTAAGCAGACTCCACACTAAGTGTGGAGCCCCATGGAGGGCTCAATCCCATGACCCTGAGATCACCACCTGAATCAAAACCTAGAGTAGACGCTCAGCTGACTACGCCACCCAGGCCTGAAATTTTCTTAAGATAGGAAATACTCAACCGTTTGTGTATGCTGACTGGAAATAATCCCAATGAGGAGGGAAAGACTAGTGAATACAGAGAAGTTTCCTTTAATCTTTCTAAAAAATAGGACACACTGTGAAATTTCATAAGATATTGTGATCTAAAAAAATAAAAATAAAAAAAAAGATATTGTGATCTGTAGTGTCATTTTTTTGGATCTTTAGTTATTAGAGGCATATACTGAATGAACTCTGGGTAAAATGACAGGATTTAAGGTTTGCTTTAAAACATCCCAGGAAAGGGGATGCCTGGATGGCTCAGTGGCTGAGTGTCTGTCTTTGGCTCAGGATGTGATCCAGGGGTCCTGGGATCGAATCCCGCATTCAAGCTCCCCATGTCTCCCTCTCCCTGTGTCTCTCATGAATGAATAAATAAAATCTTTAAAAAATGTCCCAGGAAGGGGCGCTCAGGTGGCTCAGTCGGTTAAGCATCTTCCTTCTTCTCTGCTGGCTCTCACTCTCGCAAATAAATAAAATCTTTTTTTTTAAATGTCCCAGAAGAAAAAAAGGTAAGAGGGATAGATTTTTTAAAGGCAAAATTATTTTTAATTATTGAAGCTAGAAGGATAGGTTCATGGGAATTCATTATAAAAGCTTACCCTTCAACAACAACATAGGGGTCAGGGATGCTAACCCCCCTTTCACGGTCAAAAATACATGTGCAACTTTTGATTCCCCAGATACTTAACTCTTAATAAACTACTGTTGACCAAAAGCCTCACCAATAACATCAACAGTGGGCTAATATACTTGGTATGTTAAACTACATATTACATTCTTTTAATAAAGCTAGAGAAAAGGAAATGTTAAGAAACCACAAGGAAAATACATTTATAGTCCTATAATGTATGAACCAAAAAAAAAATCTATGTATAAGTGGACCTATTCAGTTCAAACCCATGTTATTCAAGAATCAATTCTTTTCTCTTTACTTTTGTGTATTTTGAAAACTTCCACAATAAAAAGTTAAAAAAAAAACCTCACCTTTTTTCACAGTAACAGGAAAATTGGTCAGTTAGCAGTGTGAGGGGCAGATGAATACAGGAACATCTGTTCTGGGTCATGAGTTCTGAACTACAGCACCCCACAGTAGGCAACCAACCCTTCACAATGTGGGACCCAGGAAATTTAACAAAAATCCCCTAGCCCTGGACAAGCATAGCAGGACTGATTCCATTTTGTGCTACACCTGCCACCTCCTGTATGACCCCCACATAACCTGCTTATTGCTAAGGCGCTGCCCCACCCTAGTCAAGCCACTGGGCACACCCTAATCAAGCTCGAGCTTGTAAATAAACCCTCGTGTGTTTGCATCGGTGTCGGCTCCTTGGTGGTTTCTCGGATTCGCAATCTTGGGCACAACAACAAAATTTCAGTCAGCAAAGGGAATGGGAATGCAGGAGACAGGACAACCACCCTAGCCTCTCTGCTAGCCTGTGTTAAGCAATATAGCTATGGATGGCCAACGTGTTCTCTTTCAGACAGACAACCAGATGACGCAGACAGGGCTTAACTACCACAAGACATTTCATATATTAGGAAAACCAATTCAATCAATTTCTCTTTATTTTAGAATTATGTTTCTTGCTTTGACATTATGTTTTTTGTACATATCTCTTCTTATAATTCTGAAAACACATGACCTCTGTTGAGAAGGTACATTTTCTTAAAATTAAAAAAAATTTTTTTGAAAACATAATATATTCATTTAGTACAAAAATCAAAACTATGTATATTAAAAGGTACACACCAGAAAGTCTCACTCCCTACTAGTTTTCCCCAGGTCCTCTTTATCGGTTTTTTAAAAATATTTTATTTATTTGAGAGAGATAGCCAACTGAGCCATCCATCCACAGGCGCCCCCCCCCCCCCCTGCCTGGTCCTCTTTAGTTAACTACTTTTATTAGTTTCTTATAGGATCTTCTAGAATATATAACAAATACATATTATTTCTCAACATTTCTTACACAAAAGATGAGACTATGCACTCCTCTCAAGCTCTTTTTACAATATAGCCTAGAGATCTTCCTATATATCAATATGTGCAGATTTTTAAAATTTTCTTTAAGCATCTATACAGTATTCTATTCATCTAATTCTATTACAGATACACTAAAAAGATTTTTTTTAAACAAATCCCCTTTTGATGTGGATATTGTGGTTGTCCCAAAAATTCTGTTACCCATACTTCTGTAATAAAGAGCTGTGTATATTATACCTGCAATGCACACATGAAATGACCCGTCTGTGTAGAACAAAAGAAAGGTCTTAAAAAATGAAACTGCTGGATCCCAGAGGAAATGCACATGTAATTTGATAGATGTTGCCAAACTGCCTTCTAGAGACCTTATATCATTTTGCATTCTCACCAGCAGCAGATTATTACATAGAGTTCCACTTTCCAAAGCCTTGCCAAAAGTGACTGTCTTTTAATTTTTGAATTTTTACCAATCTGAAACATGAAAATTGGTATCTTAATATGGCTTTCATTTGCATTAATTTTCTGGTGTAATTAAAATTTCAAATTGATTAAAAGTGAATGTAAGCAGCTTTTCACATGATTAAAGGCTAGCAGGCATTTTTAAAAGAATATCAAATTTTTTCCAGACTCCAAAGCTATAAAAAACAAAGGCAGATTTTCTTTTTTCCTTTTTAAAGGAATTTTTCTTTTGTTAGTGTTTTACTTGGATTGGATGGCTTGGTTTTTTTGTACCCTTTATATTCTGAAGCATATTGTCA